TACAACTCATCTAAAGAAGAGGCCTTATCTTTTGCAAACCACAACACCCTATAGGAGAGAGAGAACAAAAGTGAATGAATGCCCTGGTGGGGGGTGGGAGGGATACTGGGATCCGTGGTGGTGGGAAATGGGCACTGGTGGAAGGATGGATCATTTTATAATTGAAACCCAAGCACAAAAATTTGTAAGTCTACAACTGTACCTCATGGTGTCTCACTAATAAAAATTAAAAAGAAAAAAAAAAGAAGAGGCCTTATTAGACAACTTCATGAGTCCTATTTTCTAATAGCAGGTGAAGAGTTCAGGTGCTGAAATGTTCAGGAAACATACATGAAATAACATGGCTAGTAACCAGTGTTGATTCAAAGCTTCCACTTACTGGACACCAGGATTTTCCTCTACATCAGGATGTTCCTCCACATTAGGTTGTTCCTGAACACCAGGCTGTTCCTCCACATTAGGTTGTTCCTGAACACCAGGCTGTTCCTCCACATTAGGTTGTTCCTGAACACCAGGCTGTTCCTCCACATTAGGTTGTTCCTGAACACCAGGCTGTTCCTCCACATTAGGTTGTTCCTGAACACCAGGATGTTCCTCCACATTAGGTTGTTCCTGAACACCAGGCTGTTCCTCCACATTAGGTTGTTCCTGAACACCAGGCTGTTCCTCCACATTAGGTTGTTCCTGAACACCAGGATGTTCCTCCACATTAGGTTGTTCCTGAACACCAGGATGTTCCTCCACATTAGGTTGTTCCTGAACACCAGGATGTTCCTCCACATTAGGTTGTTCCTGAACACCAGGATGTTCCTCCACATTAGGTTGTTCCTGAACACCAGGCTGTTCCTCGGGTGTCCCACCAATATTGAGAGATGCTGCAGTATCAGGTGTCTCTGGCATTTTTCCGTCCTGTTGAGAGGGAAAAAACCCATCAAAATAAAGGTTTTCAAACTGTTTTGACTTTGGAGGTCATACCTGGCGGTGCTAAGGAGTTACACCTGGCTCTGCACTCAGGAACTAGTCCTGGAGGTGCTCCAGGAAACCTATGAAATGCTGGGTATCGAACCCAGTGTGGGCATGTGCAAGGCTAATGTGCTAGTTGCTGTACCATCATCAGGTCCCCAGCTCCACAACTTTTGTGTTACCTTTGAAGGAGCTTATGATCCCATTATGTAGATGAAACAGTGACATCTGAAACAGTGTCACTATAAAGAGGTAATAGTTGTTTAGGGTCAGAGAGCAAGGAATTGTATGTGGAGTACACTAGGACGGGCCCAATAGCATAGCGGTAGGCCCGGGTTCGATTCCTTCGTCCCTCTCGGATAGCCCAGCAAATTACTCAGAGTATCCTGCCCGAACAGCAGAGCCTGTCAAGCTCGCTGTGGCGTATTCAATATGCCAAAAATAGTAACAGCAGTCTCACGATGGAGATGTTACTGGTGCCCGCTCGAGCAAAGCGGTGAACAACTGGAGGACAGTGCTCCAGTGCTACATTCCATGAACCAAACATCATCATAACAGTTGTCAGCTGATATAAAACTTGTTTGGACCCCTGTTGGAGCAGGGGCAGGAACAATTCCCTCTGAGTCATAGATTCCTCAGGGCAGGCTCTATACTACTTCACAGGCTTGAGAGGCTGCAATCCCGGCTTCCAGGAAGGACAGAATTTGAAGAAATCAAGTCAAGGAGGAAGAGAGTTAAAAGATGGAGACTGTATTCTTAAGGGATTTAAGGGACCTTTAAGTGTACATATGTTTATATTGGGAAATCCCACCTTCTCTGACATTATTCTTCCTTCCTTTTTATTTTGGCTTTAATGGAATCACTGTTCATAGTGCTGTACAGAATATTAACATTAGTGATAAATGTATTTCCTTCCGATGAAGTTATCCAAAGAATTAGTCTGTAAATTGAGGGCTTTTTCTATTATCAAAATTTTAATTGAGGCACCATGATTTACAAAGCTTTCTATATTAGGGTGTCGGGCATCCAATATCCCAACACCAATTCTACCACCAGTGTCATCTTCCCTTCTCCAGGTTCCCACAACCCCTTCCTCAGGCATGCATCCATTACAGACACGTTTAAGTTTGATCCCAATTTGGTTTCCAAGCCAATCAAACTATTGGCTCTGTGGTTTACATACAGGCAAACACCTCACCTCAACGCTGCTGATGTTCCCATGGCCTCTAAGTTACCCACGGACTGCCTTTTCTTACTCCTGGCTCTGTACTCTGGGGGCCATGTGATGCAAATTATCGAACCCCGCTCAGCTGCATGCAAGGCAAATGACTTCCATGTACTATCTCTCCTATTGAATATTTCTAAAGTCAAGTTTTTAAAATAAAATTACAGTGGGGAGAAAAGGTAACTGAACTTAAAAAAAAAGATACGATCCCATAGTAGGCAAAACCATCCATTGCATTAGGGTTTAGGTAAATTCTTGATAACACATCATTTAACTACTCCTCAGGAAAAGAAACAGAAATTTGAGGTGAGCTAAAAACTAATGAAATACAAAGCATAATCTATTTACTCCTTTGCTGCCACATGGGAACAAGGAGGAGGAAACTGGAAGAAGCGGTAAGAGAGAATCATGATTCCATTTACAAACTGCTGCTGTTCTACTAAGCAGTCATTTCTACCAGAAAAGAATACTTTAATAGCTGTTTTACCAGATGTCTCCTGAACAACAGAATTCCGTTTCAGAGACAAAACATCTATTCTGCCAAAGAGTAAATGAACAGAGCTCCCCATGAAAGATGAAACTCAAACTGTTTTCTTTTATACTTCAGCAACAACTCCATATGATGGTAATAAAGCCAGCTAATCGACAAAGTCTATTCCAACCAGTTGAACTCTATCTTTCAAAAGAGACTCACTCCCTGTGTCCAGTGCTTACTTGATTTATGATGCCTGTGTGATAGCGCTTTCTATTATGTAGCTTTTAGGCCTTCTTCTTAGAGAGCAGACATCAGTCCTTTAGAGACTTTTTCTCCCTTCCTTAGAAACAGTTCATTTAATAAACCATTTGTTAGTAGCCCTATCATTGCCTTGTACCCCCAGTGCCTGGCACAGACTTATCTATTCGATGTAGGGAGGTTTCCTGTGGATTTTAAATGTCACTTATGAATGCCTACCGAAATGTGGCAAATGCCCGCAAAATCTAATACCATTTGAGTCAAGACTGCATTGATAGATGCAACAAGTGGGTGCCTGGCTTTATATAAAATATGACTTGGCAAGAAAAGTATTAAGACATGCAACAACATGGGTGCATGATTATTTCTACAAAACTTCCAGAAGACATAAACCGACAGAAACTCAAGAGCAGGGTAGCATGTGCCTAGAGTTGGGGTTGGGCAGGGAAGGGAACCGAGATGATGGTCGAGAGTACGGTGTTGCCTTCTGGGATAATGACAATGTTCTGAAATTGCTATCATGGAGGCATGTTTATGTGTAGAGACTAAAGCCAACAGCCTGTATATTTGATACCCACGAATATTATGTCCTAGGAACTTTATCTCAGTCGAGCTCTTCAGACGAAATAAAGAACTAAATTACTAAACCACCAGGCTGTCTCACCAAACTGGTTCATGGCTGGAAGTGATCATTTTCTTTCTCCTTCTAACAATCAACTGATAATGGAAATGGTTTCTTTGCATTTTTTTCTAACATATTTCTGTACCAAATGGTTCAGCAGCTCTCAGTCTGAAACCCTCAAAAATGGGAGGCACATGCCTACCTGTCTAATTCAGCATTTCCAAGAGCAGATCCTCAAGATTTGGGTATCCACTTCCTGCATCTGAGAGTTGAAGGTGGTAACCAGGACACTTGGATCGGAATAGGAAGTTGTAAACAGGTGACCAAAGCAGAAAAGTTTCTTTCTTTTATTTCCTAGCATTCTGAAAACATGCTTGCCATAAATCCCTGGAAGGAGTCTCTCATTGGAATTTTTTAACTTCATGTTAATCACGAGACACTAATTGGAAAACCTGTCAGTGGCTCTGATGGTGGTGATTCTGGTTCTCATAGAGGTGAAAGGGAAAGAAACCTGTATCAAAAGTGGAGTATGGAAGTTGCAAGTCATATGATCTACAAATTGTTCAGTGTTTTATTCCAGTCCCATTTGAGTCACAAGGTGCTAAAGTCACTTTGAAAAAAAAATCTTTTGAAAGTTACTTTCAGATGCTTAAAATGATCATAGAATTGAAACGAAGACTTGGAGAAAAGTCTTGAAAGAAGTTTCAAGGATAAGGAAACTGTTGAATTTACAAATTCACTTCTTCAAACTGACTCCACCCACTGTGACTAAGAAACTCTTTCTTGTCTCCCTACACTCCTGAAGCGTATCTATGTGGGCACATACTCAAGCCACTGAATCTTAAAGACACTGTCTTCGCAAGGGAATGAGAAAATTCTTTGCAACTTTGTGTCATGCTTTATGGTTCTATCATCACAAGGAGGGTTTTGGTTGCTAGATGAGCAGATATTTCTGCTATAGTCAGTTGTTCTATCGTAAGGAGGATCTACTCACTCAGAATCATGTCATTCAGAAGTGGTTTGGGCCATTGATTCAAGCAAATATCTTCAGATGACTAAAGAATATGTTATTTTCTGAGGTTCAGAAATATATTTACATTTGACAAGCTTCCCTTTTCCCATGAGACAACAACTTAGAATCACAACAATAAACACAGGAATCTATATAATATTAGAGAAGTGTGGGCACCAGGCCAGATGACTCATGTCCCGAATTCGGAACTCTGGTTCTCCAGCTTGACTCCTCCAAATCCTTTCATTTCAGTAAAATGAAAAGTGTTCAACCTATAAGAAGGAATCCAATAAAGTGCCATCATGACACAAGTCCTTGGATACAGAAAGCACCTTGCTAGTGTAACAGCAGAGTAATGCTTTAGAAAGAAGAACATAACCTCTGGGTATGAATCAAGGAGGCAAGAATGTGCCTTAAGATTCTTTGTGCCTCTGCCTCCACCTACCAAACATGCTTCCGGAGAGTGTTGGACTCTGGAGAGTGTTGGAGCCATCCAGTTGATTGAACTTGTACTTTGGTGAGTTTGTCTGGTCACGATTCTCTTTGGACACTGACTTGAAGTAGGCAAGGTGAGGCCCCACAGATTCGTCCTTCATAATCCTCACACCATTTTTGAACTTTACTATGTTTTCCACATTGCTGCCCACATAGTTGGTATTTGCACACTATATACTCTCTGGCTCCCCAGTTGTATCCAGCTGCCTGCTGGACAAAGTGCTGACTCACCTAATGGTCCAGTAGCTCAGACTCAAGAGTCCTACCTCATTTCTCAAGTATGTGTGTGTGGGGGGGGGGAGGGGGTTAAGGGGTGGCGGTGGGCAGATGATGATCAACCCTCAAATCGTGATGGTAAAAGAATTTTCCCCAAATAGTGTATGAAATGAGAATGCAAAAGAGCTTAGGTTTATCCAACTTCTCCTAGGGGCTAGAAAGAAGCTGATACTCCTGGTGTACAAGGAGGAACAGAATAGTAAAACACTCTCTGAGGTGCAAATAGGGCCCAAAGAAACAGGGAAAGCCAAAGAGTAAGCTTCTGGGTTTCTGAAACGTAAGCAGATGTGAGCATACACATATTCCATATTTAGAATCCACTTTTCTAAGTGACCAGACATTCACCAACAGGGTTTACTTTTCAGTCATGCCACATGCCAGTGTCTATTGAAATTAGGTCAGGGCTGCTAAGTGCAGCACTGATATACCAGCCCTGATGGGGCTGTTTCTGCTGCCCATTGGAAGTTTCTCGTCTAAACTTCTCCTGAATACGGAAAATGAGACCGCAACAAAATGATCCAATGATCTGAGTTATATTGCCTTCAGGCCCCTTCACTGGCCACTGACAAAGGCAGTTTCCTCACCCCCTTTCCTGTCTCCCACACTGAGGCTGAGTCTTGAGGTAAGAAACCAAGGCTGGACATCAGCCCTATCCTAGGTAGCCTCAGGTGCCATGACCAAGCTGAGCTGTCATCCTGCAGGCTTCTAGTTTGTGTGGGACATGCAGCTCCCCTGCGATCAACTCCACTGAGACACTCAAACTAACAACCAGACAAAACTTACCCTCCACGTAATTTTTCAGGGAGTCTCAGTGTGGAGTATAATAGCAAACTAACAGAGAAAGGCTGTTAGACATTTGTTCGTCAGGGTCTAGAGGCAGGGAAATCCCAGGACAAGGTGCTGGAGGATGCAGTTCTTGGTGAGGGCTCTTCTTGGTTCCCAGGAAGGTGTCATCCTGGGTACCTTCAAGAGCTGACAGAGTGCGAAGCCATCCTTTTGCTGAAACATCAATACCATCACAAGAATGCCACTGTCACATCTCATCTCACTAAAATCTCTCCCCAAACCATTCCATCTGCAAATACCACTACAATGGGAATCAGAGCTTCACTCTACAACCAGGTTTATGCCAAATGTTCTCCTCAGAGAACTATGCACAGTAAGAAAATGTGCACTCAAGTCACTGCATACTCATCAAGTGTATGTACACAGAAGTGTGTATATAGGTATAACATATGGAATGCATTGTTTTAGACAAATACATACATATATGTCTACAGACTTAAACACATGTCTGTCTATATATATATGGATATGCGGATATGACACACATAAAAGTGTATATATAAAAAGATATGTAATTATATTTTACAGATGATAGATATTTTATAACAAATAAATTATACACATAGAATTTATTATGTTTTATTATGAAATGTAATATTTGCATATATATAATATATAGACACATAATGTACACATTTCTATTATTTATTTATATATTAATTATATATAAACATACATATTTTATATATATTTAAATGACATAATATTCTAAATGTTCATATTTACTTATACATTGAACTATAAATAATATATTATATTTTACATAAGAATATTTATACCATATAATAATTACATATTCTATATTTCAAATAAATCTATAAATACACACTTATTTGTGTATATGTAAACATATATGACATTTCTGTTTCTTTTTCTGACAGTAGTCTATTAAAGTTTAAGAGGCAGTAAGGTGAAACTGAGAGTTTTCAATTGCTGATACTTTCTAGGAAGATAAAGTTTTTATCTTCTGTATTTTGTTAAGTTGCAGCTGGGTCTGTGTGGCACAGGATGTCTGAACTTGGGAAAGAGCAACCACCACATCCTGAATGACAGCTAGAAAGGAAATGACTCAAGTGGAAGGTTTTCTTTCCTGCAAGTATCCCCTTCTGTGCCTTCTCCTGAATCTCACCTTTGGTCTTGCAGACTTTTCTTCAAGTCACAACACAGGAGACACAGCAGATGTTAATCAGTGATAAAACTGTATCTCAGCAGGCTTCACTTCAGAACCAAAAGCACAACTGTGCTATACAGGTAGCTGTGACTTGAGTCTTTACAATCTGAGACATATAATTGTCCCCCCCGCAACCCACAAAAACTCGGAGAAAGGAAGTTTCTAAATTGGCATTTCTAAAAGACAACTGTGCTGAATATGAATGAGAGCCATCACATTTAATCAAAAAATTATTGTTCTTATATGAATTTTAGAGCCACCAACTGATAGTTCAATTGCTATGTTTCTTTTATTTATTTATTTATTTTGCTTTTTGGGTCACACCCGGTGATACTCAGGAATTACTCCTGGCTCATGAACTCAGAAATTACTCCTGGCAGTGTTCAGGGGACTATATGGGATGCTGGGAATCGAACCCGTGTCGGCCATGTTGGCTGCGTGTAGGGCAAACATCCTGCCTGCTGTGCTATCGCTCCAGCCCCCCTCAATTGCTATGTTTCAATGAAATGTTGCGTTCACATTTTAAGTAAAAAAATAACTATGAAACGTTAATTTCCCCCTTACACTGAAGTCATGTAATCAAATGTTGACTGAATTGAGAGTGTTTCCAGTGGGTTCCACTGAGTTTCAGAGGATGGTTTTCTATGAGGAACTCACCTGTGGTGTAGGACCACCCACACAGAATTTGGGAAACTAGTCCTATGAGTCTGGAAACTAGCGCAAGCCTTCCAGCAACAAGCACTGCATTAAGCATAAGAAAGCAGGTCTGACTGAAAACGTCCTCAAATGCATGTGCCTTAGAAAAAATGTTGAAACTGACTGATACCCAGGGATAGGTTGGAAGGCCATGGAACAATGATTGTGTTTGCCCACAGGCTTCATGGTTCTTAGGCCTGAGCAACTTTCACCGAATTACACCTCTCCCTCAGCAGAGGTGAGATCTTGGCATTCCTATGGGTCTGGTTTGTGGGAGAATCCAGATAGGCACTGTTTACCGAATAAACATCAATTCAGTGTGGCATGTGGGGGATCAAGTCTCTGCATCCAAGGAAGGAAACTAGCTCTCTGGAGTCAAACCTCTCCAATGTGCTTTTCTCAGATGGTTACATCCAAAATTCAGAATCGTCTCTCTTGATATCTTATGTTTCGTAGCAAAATCAGCTCTAGTTAGGTTAGGAAAAGAAATGAAGTTGAGAAATCTGGGTTCAGACTCGGGCTCTGCTGTTCACCCCACACTGGCTCATTTCCTTCCGGTGTAAGAGCACGTTCTTGCCTATACCACATGGAACAGGTTTGTATTGTCCACATTCACTTCAAGAACTTTTCGGATTTCCTTTACCAAGATCATGGTGAATAAACTCATCTTTATTTGACCCATTTTGTAACCTTGTAACATTTGGTATTTCTTAAGAATGACTGCTTTAATTAGTAGTCTTATGGACTGATGTTCATAGGCTGGATATTCATAGTCTTATGGACTGATGTTCATAGTCTTATGGACTGATGTTCATGGGCTGGAGCGATAGCACAGCGGTAGGGCGTTTGCCTTGCACGCAGCCAACATGGCCGACCCGAGTTTGATTCCTCCGCCCCTCTCGGAGAGCCCGGCAAGCTCCCCAGAGTATCTTGTTTGTACGGCAGAGCCTGGCAAGCTCCTCATGACGTATTCGATATGTCAGACACAGTAACAAAAAAGTCTCCAATGGAGACGTTACTGGGCCCGCTCGAGCAAATCGATGATCAACGGGAGGGCCTTTTTACCTTGACTTACTGATGTTCAGAATACCTCAAATTCACATGCTTTCATTTCATGCTCACAGAGCTTTCATTTCCCATTGGATGGCAGTATGAAGATATGGACCCTTTGAGAAAGCGTTAGCATTAGCTTGGCATAAGGCACTCTGAAGAGTTGGATCCTCTGAGGAGACCAGTGGCCTCATCAAAAGAGCCCAATGATATCTCTCTTACCACCACCTCCATCTTCCTCTCCACTCTGCTTTCACCCATACTCTCTTCTATGGAAGAGAACAGCAAGAGGATGGCTCGAACTAGAAATTAGCTGGAATTCCAACCATACTTTTTCACCATCACTAGAACTAAGAGAAAAAATTGTTGCTAAAGTCACTCAACTTTTGGTGTTTTCGTCATGGTAAGGGAAGCTAAATTAAACAGTATTCAACGGATAATCAGGTAAATGTTCTTATACTCAACAAATGGAAATTCCTTTGTACTGTTTTATATCTACTTACACTTAGCAAGATCTACTTTATACAAAGTTTTCTTATAATTTATTCCTTCCTATCACTTTTGATATGTATCATCTACGGATTATGACCCCATTTTACAGGGAGGGAACCAATCAGAAGTTCAGAAGTCAGTGAACGGAGGAGTTTCTAGGAATGTGAACTACATTGGAGGCATGGGCAATGCCACTGGACAAGTAGACAGGATGGTTTTCATACAATTAGTGTTTGACTGAATGATTCTTGAAGTTCTATAGAATTACCTTGTCATAGAAGAAAAGATGTGATTGTGGTCAATGTAGCTTTTCAGTGCACTTTGTTCTGCACTGTATTTTAGTTTAGTATTTGACAACAGAAGACACTGTGACCAAAGGTTCTTTTCAGGATTACAGAGTAACAGAGCTAACATTGAAATCCAAATAAACTAATCGATTAGAGTGGTCTGGCCAGTACACCTCTGGTGGAAATCATTCATTAAGAAATACATTTTGGGGGCTAGAGAGGTTAGGTACTTGCCTCACATGTGGCCCTCTTCGATCCCTGGCACCACAGAGGGTGCCCAGAA